CGATGCGAGGTGGGGACGAGTTTATGGGGGGTGTATGGGGCTGTAGAGGGGTATGGGGGCTTACTTCGAAACCATTAAGTCGGGCATTTATATGCGATCGGGGTCGTTAACTGCAGGAAGCGCCGGCGCGTACGCACACTAATGCATCTACCGTTTTTCTATTCGTAATATACGCTAATCCAACGCACTAACACACATAAACAAGGGCACGCATAAACACTTGTAAAGTTTTACAAGTGTGAAACGGTACAAATGCTTGCCACGTGCCGATCTGTTTTATCGACTGTCATCTATTCTTTCATAAATGTATATATTATGTTATATGGTATATAAGTGTATATGTGTAATAATGGTGTAGTTTTGTATGCGTGTCACACGGTAATTTTAAATCAAATTTTTTTTTTTAAATACATTTTATATAATAATATCACGCGTGGTTAGTTTTATTATTATTATTATTATTCAAATTGGTATTCGAATTGTTCGTATGTAAATGTTTATAGAAATAAGTGTTTGTAATAAAAAGAAATTAAATAAAAAGAAGTGTGTCCTAATGAAATAAATTAAAAAATACGAATGATAATTATTTATGATTATTTCGTTTGTGTGTGTGTGTTCGATTCTGTTCTTTCCACTTTGGTGAAATATATGTGGAACAAAGATTATTCATAGAAATGTTAAAAGGAAGCTGTAAGCGATTAGTAAGAGCCAAGAGATGATTCATCAACTAAAGGTATCTCTCTCTCTTATGCTTCCGTTTCTTCTTTGTGTTTTCTCCATTTATTTTATTCGTTTTAACTTCGTTCTGACTTCGGCATTTCCAAATCGATTTCAATATACAATTTTAATTTCTTTAATGACGTTACCACGTCATTGACTAGTCATCACAATTTCTTCTTCTTATTTGATTTCTTTTTTTTTTGTTTATATGTGGTCATCTTCGATACATCAACTGGGAAAAATTATCTTTGTCATCAATTTAAAATTATAGTTGAATTATATTTTTAATTCAGTATCACAACGTTATTCCATCAAATTTCTACTCTTTCACATTAATTCGATTATTTTTATTAAGAATTTTTTTAAATTAATATTTAATTCTTTTATTATATATGTAGAAATTTTAATGAAGAACATTTTTTGTAATACTTTACTTGTAATACACGCATAATTATTATAAATTATTTCAAATTAAAAAGAAAAACCTAATACCTTTATAATGATCGATCGATTGTACGAGAATTACCTAGTACGTGCTTTCGAGTATTTAAACAAAAATTAGATTTTCCTTCGATCACTTATCGTCGTTTACTTTTACATTATTGAGATGAATCAATGAAAGAGAGAGAGAGAGAGAGAGGAAAATGATCAATCGATCGATAAATATCGTTTAGAATCGAGCAACTTGCTTGTATGACCCTTAAAACAGTTTTTAAGTACCAATCCGTGATATTGACTGACACTGACTTTGATTATCTTCAAACTTGATTCCCCACTTGTAAAACTAAACGGAGATAAAAAGTTAGCGAAGTACGTTCGAACGAAATCTAAATCGATATTAACACTAAAACGAATTATAAATATGATTAAAAGAATAAGAAAAAACAATTAACTATTAATTATGTATTAATAATCGTGCGATTCTTACGATTAATTAAACAAAAATCTAACAAACTGTTTACAAACGTTTTAAATAATACAACACACTACGTGATTTTAATTTATTTCTTTTTTTTTTTTTTTAATTTGTTTCTTAAAAGGTAAAGCTACTTCGTGATTTTACACAAATGATTTTTAATTAAGAAACTTAACGTTAAACAACACGTTATCGTAATAATCAATTTAATATTTCACACACTGAAACGAGTAGATTAAACTTCGAATTAATAATTAAATGTTCAATTTATTAATATTTGTTGTTTATTTTTCTTTTACTTTTTCAACTTGCATAATATTTAATATTACACTTCGTATAAATAATGAAATAATAATTAAATTAATCGTCGGGGTTCTACTTATTTTTTTATGGGGATGGGGGATGGAAATGGGATTTATATTAAATACTCAACGTTCTTAATTAAATATCACGACAAATTAGAAAAAAAATATATATATATATATTATCGCGTAATTAATTAAACGTCGTTATGCTTCGAATTTTGGATTTGGCAAAAAATCACGGGGAACGTGGAAAAGGAATCCTTGAGTTAAATCGTAAACCACCGTGCATAGATCATTCATAATTTACATAACGAAAGAGATGGGAAACATCGCCATTTGGAATTGGTGAAAATTTTAATTACAAACGGAACTACATTTGCGTTTCGATTTTAATTGTAAATGAGTAGATAGAAGAAGTAAAAAAGGGGTGTACGGGGGGAGGGAGAGAGAGAGATAGAGAGAGAGAGAGGTGAGAGACATGTAAATGGAAGCTCTTGGATTTTCTCTGATTGAAAATGATATGCTGATGTAATATGACCTTATATTATATGGTTCCCATAAGAGAAATAAAGTTAGACGACAAGATGTTACAAAAAATAAAATGATATCGTAATTAACGCGAATAAATTTGTTTATTTTATTATTCACAATGTTTGTTTTACTACAACACATAGGTCGATTGTGAATTTTCATTTGATTTATTTATTTATTTAAAAAAAAAAGAAAAAAAAAAGGACATGTTGCAATTAATTGAACGAAGGAAAAATAAATCCTACCTATCTATTGGAGAAAATCCCTTTGACTCGTAAAAAAAAAAAGAAAAACGGAAAAAGGTAGAGGATCGATTTGTTCCTCTTGGAAGGTATACTTAAAATACTAATCCTTCTCGATCAAGGATCATTATCGTTGATCCTGAGTTGAATCCCTGAGAGAATGATTTATGAGATCGTTTAAAAAAAGTAATCAAGAAAAAACGAGACGATCGATTTTCTCGAATTTTTCGTAGAAAGAGAAAAAAAAAATGTAATAGAAGAAAAATTTTATTTTTACACAAACGTGTAAGTAGATTTGAAAAAATTAGAGAAACGTTCGTCATTTAAAATAGAACAATTTGAATAACAATCGTTGTGGAGGATTTTATTTTCACACATTTTCTTGTCCATTTTATTTTATACTCTGAGTGACACTAATTGAATCGTCCTAATTATATTATAATTTGTTAAATTAATGTCACAGCTGTGTTTTTAAACTATATTAAAAAAAAAAAATAAAATACTTCAATGCTATTATTATAATAGTAAATAATAATAAAAATATTTATAAATGAAATATACAAAAATGTTCTTAATTTTAATTGTAAGAATTAAAGAAAAGAATAATAAAAATAATAATAATTAAATAAATATAAAAAAAACTTATATATAAATGTGTATATTATATCAATCGATTTCATTTGTTATTTATATTTTATTTATTGCAATAATCAATAATGAAATGTTCGATTACTTTAATACTGAATTCTCGTTTAGTATCGGGAATATATTGGAAAGCAGTCAAGGTTGGCATTAACCCGATTTAAATGAAAACCTACCACAAGTATCCCAATATACATGTAACGACCCGAATTCAAATTTGGCGCCGTTGCCAATAATCAAATCCTGAGGTATGTATATATTTTAACCGAAAATGTTATCCCAAAGAATATTCATCAATTGCATGTAATACTAATAGAAATAAAACTATAAATGTATAAATTAAATTTAAATTAAAAAAAAAAAGGAGAGAGAGAAATAAAATCAAAATCAAACTAAAGTAAAACGAAATCAGGTCGTCTATCTAAAAATAATACTGCACGAAACTGTTAAACTGTTAACATTTAAAAAAGAAAAAAATCCAAATTAGAAGAACAATAAGTTTGTAAATTAAACCTTGATATAAATTTATTATCCAATTGTTGTTACTAATACTATATCATATAAATAAAATATTCAAGATAATATAATCAAGAAATAAACCAAAGAATGTGAACGATACTTAAACATGAGTAATGTACTAATCTCTGATATGAAATCTTAAAAAATCATGACAAATATGATAACACAATTTTTAAATTGTTCAATAAATAAACTAAAGGATATATAACGGTAATACAAAGTTATACACTAATCCGAGATACCTAAATCTCATTAAATTGTAGCTACACAGTTTCACACTGGAGAGTTTCGTACTTATTTATGTTAAGATATATATGTACTGGATGTTTCTAAACTAACCATTTATTTCAATAAAACAATATTATTATTTATTATACAATATATATAATCATGATTGTATAAACGATTTAATATAATATGCATTTCTAATTTCAATTGATCGTCATCGTATTAAAATATATATATATAAAAAAAAAATCAGAGAAAAAATATCTAAATAATTAAAATAAATAAAATATGTTAATACGTATAACTCAAACACAAAATATATATTATTTATAATATATATATATA